TTTCAGGAGCAGAACCCTGAGTTGATTTTTACTCATCACATTATATACATTATCCTGGGTTCAAATTAGAATCAAATCTCTCTTAGGTCAGTGTTTTACTTTTTAAAATTCATAAGCATCTTAAGTATTGTATTTTGATAGTTCAAAGTCAGTGACAAAAATTAACTCTTTTTGCTGCTTAAGAGAGAAAATGTGTAAATGTAACCAATATGCATAATTCAGCTACATTTTTGAGACAATATAAACAGGGTTGAAAATGGATAAAGAAGATTGTTGTTATAACTTTGGTTGGCTCTCATTTAGCACTGGACTTTAAAGGCCTAGTAGAATGTTTTTTCCAAGAATATTCCATATAAGATATATGGGCTCTTTTATGTAAATTGAACAGAGGAATACTGTAGCAAAATAAAGTAATTTAAAATATTATTTACTAAAGGATATCTGTCAGAGAAATCTATATAGTTGACTGTGCTGTGAATTTAAATCTTTAAAGTTTTCTTCAAAGACGTTCAAAGTCCGTGTGTTCAAATAAACCACCCATTATAAATTATATGGACCTCCTTTCTGCCAGTTTAAACCTTGTAGAGTTTATGGTACTGAGTACACCCGAATCAAAGAAAAAGAATCTCAACACCACCAGTTTGTAATTGTTTTGTTTGAAAGAGATGAACATCCAAATTAAAATAGACCTTTATCAATTTACCAATTTGATTTGAAAAGAAGCACATGGGGTAGGAATTGTAGAAAGTGCTTCCATTTCTTTCTCACTAGAGCCTTAAATAATGAATCACAGTTTTAAGGAAAACTCTTGTTGTTTCATAACACAGGTTAAACTGTCTTTTGTAGTTTCTAGAGACTCCCCTAGATATTAAGAATAGAGATTTAGTCTCTAGAAATGTGGTTTTTTGTGGAAGAAATAAAGAAAATTCATAAATTTTTAAGCTGTTTGTTACCTTAGAGATACCTCATTGAGGTACAGAGAAATCAATACCATATCAGGATACACATTAATTTAGGCTCCAAGTTGACCACTTAGTTCTGCTTCTTTCTGTTCACTCCACTCCCGACTACACTGCTTCTGTCACCTGACCACAGGATGACCAATGACCGCAGAATAATTCCAGCTTTCATTTCTCCCAGGCACCAAACCCATATATCACCTGCCTACCAGACATTCCTCAAATCTCTCAAACCCAAGTGTTCAGTGCTGAAACCACAATGCCCAGCCCTCAAATTTCCATTACACTTCCTTTTTTCTTTTTTTCAGCTGTCAGACACCCAAGCTGCAAAACATGGAAGTCAAAGGGTCATTTTTCACTTTATATTTATTTCTTATATGCAAATTTGATGACAATCTCATCATCATTTCTCTGCTTAAAATGTCTCCCCAATCTATAGGATTAAATCTCCACCGAGTCTGAATCATGAAGTTCCTAATAATCTGAACCTTGCCTTCGTGTCTAGCTTTGTATGATTTTCACAGATGAATAATGTCTAGTAATTCTCAATGAACTTTACCTGTGGTCACTGAAACCTAAGACTACTTCCAAATGTCTATAAAGACCTACTACGACACAACAAATTATCCACCAAAGACTCCAAGTTTTGTTTTTCAATAGTAAAAAATGACCTGTAGTAATGGGCTCCAATTATAACACAATTCAGTAATTGGAGATAATTACCCAGTAGCAATTTGTTTCAATATATTAAAAGCTTAGAGGGATATGGCCCATTAAACAACACTTTTCCTAATTTTAAATGGTAACTTCCCATCTGGTAAACTGGTTTCATTTTCTTCTTATCCAAGTTTATGCACTTTAAATTAATTATCCCTGAATATGCCCCTTTATACTCCTATAATAGCTATTTAAATATATTCATCCCTCACTAACAGGAGGCAATAAAATTAAGAATTTGCGAAGAGCAAAAATGTTGAGCTATATTTTGGCCTATATCTGCACAAGAACAACAACAAAGTATCCATAGCAAATTAAAACTGAATTATATTGAGATAGAATCTTTTCTATAGAAAATAATGATTTGTGGGATCACTTAAAGTTATTTTGCAAGATATAAATATTTGCCTTCCCTCTTCAGGTTACCTAAAGAGCCTGAGTTGGTTTATAAATTTGATATGTAAGCTAGAAACAAGAAACTCTATATTTTAAATATCAACCTTGAATAGTCTTCAATCCAAGAAAGGCCAACTCAGCTGTTTGGAGTCTTTTTGGCATATTAAGCACATAGTCCGAAATCCTAGATGCCTTAGGCATTTCCATAACAATAAAGTGTTGCTTTGAAAACTAGACACTGTCCCAGGCTCCCTGAGGCCAACCAAGGTCCTAGCTGTCATGTTTTTAAAATAATCAGGGTGTCCAAGAAGTCCATAATTTAACAGTAAGTAGAACTGGAAGACTGCATCGATTATGATGGCTGAATAGTCAGTATTTCTGTTATTGTTTTTCTCTTTCTCTTCAGATTCTACTAATTTGTTCTTTGAGATTTAGATCCTTAATCTGCTTTTTATTATTAAATATCTCAAGTGCACAAGATTGTGTTGAGAGTAATACATTTAAATTGTAATCCAATGCCCAACTTTGTCAAATATTAATATTTAAATATACTAGTTCCTACAAATGCACTGTATGTAATTAATATAATATTGGGTTTAGATGTTTTTTAAATAAATAAAACATTATTGAAATTGTTGTAGCTCCTTGTGTCCTCATTCTCTTGTTTCTTAGAGGAAAATCTATTTTGAATTTGGTGCTTAACTTTCCCAGAAGTGTTTTGAGTTTACTACTTATACATGAATGTATGCACCCATATCACTTGCTTCTTTAAATTTGATGTACCGACCATAATTGTTTGCATCCCTACACTTCTTGATTTTACACTTTTAACATTATTAGTTTCTGAGATTTTTTTTGTCAATGCATGCAACTTTTATTTTTTTCATTTTAAACTTCTGTATCCAGTTAGTGACTATACTTCAATTTATCCATTCTCCTTTTATAGAACATATAGATTGTTCTCTTTTTTCTGTTATAATTAATCATACAATAAATACTTTTGAAAATGTCTATTATTGCATATGTACAGAAGATTCTCCAGGGTATATACTTAACTGTGAAATGCTGGTTTTGGAGTATCTGCATTTTAAACTTCATCGGATATTCCCAAATCATTCTCCAAGATGTGTGTTTCTATCAATATGTGTACAAAGGAAAAGTGTATGAGTTTCTGAAACAATAATTTGCAGTCCATCTTCCTAAGAGTTTCTTGGCCTTGTAAAGCCACATTAGTGCAGATAACAAGCTGTGTAGTTATACATGCTTTCATTTTTCAACTTAAATATTAAATTGTTTCTTTTGTCTTGAGAATTACCCCTGTGCCTTTCTGTATTCAAACAAACACAACTGGAATTTTTTCAATTATTAATCTTGGGTTGTATTATATTTACAGTAACAGCTTGGACATGTTCTAGGACTTAAAACTGACCTACGCAAATTATTTTTTCTTCTAAAGATTATGCATTACTGGAAACTCTCATGTTTAAGTTTATCAGAGTACTCAGAAAACTTGACAGTTCTCTATACAATATCTATTATCTCAAGTTATTTCATTACTAGGTTTGGGAGGATGTTATAATATTGTTATTTACAAGTACAAAATGTCCTTCATGTGTGTACCAAATTGGCAAGAAATATAATGTTCTTTAGAAATTCAAGACATGCCTTTACAAAGCAAAAAAAAAACTTTGGCTTATTCCTTTAATAAATTATGCTCATACAGCCAAACATATAGATGAGTATTTTAAAATTTCACTTATATGATGATACTTGGAAATTTTTAAAAATTAAAGTATCATTGATATACAATCTTATGAAGATTTCACATGAGCAACATTGTGGTTTCAACATTCACCCATATTATCAAGTGCTCACCCCACCATTACAGTCACTATCCGCATAGTAAGATGCTATAGAGTCATTACTTGTGTTCTCCGTGCTGTACTGCCTTCCCTGTGACCTACTTATATTGAGTGCTAATTACAGCGGCCCTTAATCCCCTTCTCCTTCCCTCCTCATCTACCCTCCCCAGTCCCTTTCCCTTTGGTAACTGCTAGTCCCTTCTTAGAGTCTGTGAGTCTGCTGCTATTGTGTTCCTTCAGTTTTGCTCTGTTGTTATACTCCACAGATGAGTGCAATCTTTTGGTACTTGTCTTTCTCCATCTGGATTATTTCACTGAGCATAATACCCTCTAGCTCCATCCATATTGCTGCAAATGGTAGGATTTGTTTTCTTTTTATGGCCAAATAATATTCTATTGTGTATATGTACTACATCTTCTTTATCCATTCATCTACTGATGAACACTTAGGTTGCTTCCATAACTTGGCTATTGTAAATAGCACAGCAATAAACATAGGGCTGCATATGTCTTTTTGAATTAGGGATCTTGTTTTCTTTGGGTAAATTCCTAGGAGTGGAATTCCTGGGTCAAATGGTATTTCTATTTATAATTTGAGGAACCTCCTTATTGCTTTCCACAATGGTTGAACTAATTTACATTCCCACCAACACTGTAGGAGTGTTCCCCTTTCTCCACATCCTCACCAGCATTTATTGCTTCTTGTCTTTTGCATGGTGGCCATCCTAACTGGTGTGAGGTGATATCTCATTGTGGTTTTGATTTGCATTTCCATGATGATTAGCGATATGGAGCATCTTTTCATATGCCTGCTGGCCATTCGAATTTCTCTGGAGAAATGTCTGGTAATTGAAAATCTTAAAAGTAGTTACTTGTGGAGTAATGTTCATCTCAGTCCACCAGTCATAAGGGAAGTTACTGGGCACTTCACTTAGCAGTGAAAAATACAGCAACTGAAAACTGTCAGGAAATATTGTCTTTAGTTATTTGATTTAGTGCAATTTCATGGGTAAAATCTGGTTACTGTCTTTAGGGATTGAAAAGAAAACTTGCACACAAACCAACATTCTGTTTATAACCATAGAACGGTAATGTTTGTATTTTATTATAATACAACCAAAATATACATTTAACAATTTTTTATTATTTTAGATTACAAGACTACATTTCTTTTAAAATAGCAAAACTATAAATTCAAAATTGTTAACCACTTACAATACCACAATTAAATTACACAATTAACTGATTCTTGCCCTTCCCCCAAAAAAGCATCTATATCAAACTTCCCATAAATACGTTATACTACAAAATATTTAAATGAGAGGTATTATCATGTGTATGTTCCTGTCTTCACACTGTCAAAGTGTAGAATCTTGAACTTTTTGATCCTATTTTTAACCTCATGTGTATGCTGAATTATTTAAATATTGCGGTCATTTACCTCGAGTAAAACATATTTTTCTATAAAAGCATTTCAAATATCTCTTGTTCTCTAAACTGTATTCCAATCAGTTCCAACATGTTGTATAAGACAAATGTAACATTCCAAGGAGAAGCTATTTCAGTTTTGATTTCCATTTGTATGTATGATACATGTGCAATGTTCCTTATATTTAAGTTTAAAATATCAGTGTTTAATTAATGCTTTTGTTCAATATTCTGCAGACAATCTGGGTGATATAAAAATTTCATTGAAAATTTAATTTTTGATAATGTTCCAAAACAGGCACTGGCCACTGTAAACTTATTATTTTAGTTTAGTCTATACAATTCAGCAGGAAAAATACTTAATAGTATATAAAGAACTGAAATATAGACCAGAGGCAAAATTCGAGAGTAAGACTTTTTCAGGCAGCTTATTGTAAATGGGCATTACTTAGCCAACAGATTGATTAAATTTGGTATAAATTATAATTCTTCTACTGTTGTGGCTTTACAAATTTCTAGACTTCTCTATGACTACTTTTGCATCTCATAAAGAATTAGGTTGGTTTTCAAAAATGTTTATTTGGTAATGTGAATGTAGTGTTTCATCGTTTTGAAAAAAAATAAGATTCTATATAAATTAATTAGTTAGCATATTCATTTCTAAACAACCTCTTAAAATTCCTAATAAATTGAATGTAAATGAATGCAGACATGCAGGATTGCATTTAGCAGCATAAATAACTGGAATAAAATGCAGGTGAGAATGAAGTTAAAGACAGATGTATCCTAAACAAAGGAGAAAAATATGAAACCAAGAATAAACATAGACATTTAAGACCTCTCCATAGATACCTGATTTCTTAGCACATGTATTTGAAGTTATTAACTATAATTTAATTTTTCATTATTTCAATGAAAAGTTGGTAAAACCTTTAGTCTAAGGAAGTACATATTGTGTCTCATCTCTATATTTAATATATTCACACTGTTCTTCTAAGGGTTTTAAAGCAATTAAAATGTTAAAATATTAAGCATAACTTAGATGTCCTCTGTCTTTATAAATACACATAAATCTTTGTCCATATGCTTTTATTATATGACATTTTATTTTACTAACAATATTTCAAATATATTTTGAGTAATTGTCATAAAGTAATAGTTTTAGATCCAAATCAACCTGAATATTAGCTATAAAGTAAAATAGTCCCCAAAATTTTGTCTGAACAACTAAGATTAGAAAGAAGTAATTTAAAATGGTTTGGACATTCATATTTTGATGAAAACCAAATTTATTTTCATAAGTCCTTTATAACATTAGAACTTCATGCAATTTTCTGAAAGCCATCCATAACTTGACCATTATTGTCTGCTATGTAAATATGTGGAAATCTTTTAAAAATTAAACATGCTCCCATTTATTTGCTTTGAGCTTGCTGAGTTCCTCAAACATTTTTAACCCAGCAAATCAATAGCTATAAAGACTCTTGTTAGGATATTCAATTAGCAGTCTGATACTACTACCACTATTCTTATGCATTACTTTTTAAGAGTGATTGTTTCTGGTTCACTTTTTTAAAAAAGCTTTCTTCTTTAAGTTTTCCCTATAGTGAAATATCTGCAAATATTTCTGAGCATCATATCAAAAGGGGTACTTAACCTTATAGATATCAGTGTGACTACTTTGCGATAGGTAAGCAAGGCAAATAAAATGAATGTAAGATAGAAGGTTTTGAACATAAAGCTAGTCACAGACATGATACTGAACTCTGCACTAAGTTGCTTCTCATACAAACTCCCACAGGCTTTTCTTGCAAGACTTGGAGAATGCATGAGAAACGAGCAATGTCTGCTATTTAGTTTTATGAAAAGCTGCCTTCCATGTGAGGAAGTGACTAATTTTCCATTTCACACTAAAAAGGGCATGGAAAGGCAAAACAGAAGAAGGCGAAGGGTTTTCTGCTTTAAGACGGAAAGAAAGGTGAGCCCTGCTCAAACAGGCAGAAACACACCATACATTTTCAGAGGGAAAGTCAAATTGGAAACATTTGAAAGTACTAACAAAATATAAAAAAAATGTTTATGTTAATGTTGTGAGTTTGCTTTCTTTATGTGCAGTAGGCTTATTAAATTACTAAAGCAATGCTACTCAAATTACAGTATAATCTCAGATATGCAAAAGACTGTGCGAAGAAAAGTTGTCAAAGAGTTAATTTAACCCTTTCCGTTATAAAAATTTGTGCATTTGTTCTGTTATTCAACAAATATATTTCCCTACTCCCCACCACTGCTGTTTACCTAATTCTCTCTCTACGTATATAGTGTTTTCTTACTATTCAGTCAAAGAAAATTCAATAATCTAATATTCAGGAGAGAATAAAGGCAGTCAATGGAAATAATTTACAGAGTATATGAATTCTTAGAAAAAAGAAAGTACATAATAAAATCCCATTGGTTGTAAATAAATTTCTGTTCATTCTTCCCATGATCCTTTAGAAAATTTACTTCTCCTCAGACTTTTGCTGGCAGTTTGTTATAATCTAGAATTTTTTTAACAGATGGATTACAAATTGGCAGCTACTTATACTCTAGTGAATAAAGCTACATTACATTTCACCCACTTCATTTGTGATTGTTCTTTGTTTTTATGTGGATATGAGTTTTCCCCAAGGCCAGAATTTATGGCTATCTCTCAACAAATTCCATCTGCATGCCTTCCCATTAGGATGCAATATACATCATGATGTTTCCCTTATTTTATTACAGTGCTTTCCCTATCTTGCTAAAACATTTATTAAGCATTCTGTCTCTGTGAAGCTCAGCATATATTCTAGAAACACATAACTAAGCACCAACTTCTCTCTGTGAAACTGTTACTCCTGACAAGTCATAAGGAATCCTGAGAAGAAAGAGTATCTATACCTTTCAGTAAATCAACACTGCAGTACACTAAATGTAAGCCCTGTGGTCTGAAAGAAATCATGCACCTCTCCAAATTCCTAAACCATGCACTGAGAGTGAATGGCTGGCTCACTGGGAAAGTTCCTGTGGATAACGTGAGTGCATGAATTTGTGTCTTCCCTCTCATTCCTATTACAAGGTAACCAGTTCTAGAGTGGAATGATGTATATGTTCGTGAGAACATACAGCACAACTGTATGGTAAACTCCATCCTTGATGGCCATGCAAGGGAAATAAAGCACCTTAGAACAAGTATCAAATTTGATGCTTGCTTAGCTCAACTATTTACATGCCGTATTAGATTAAAAAACTCCAAACACAGAACATTCCACAAAGAGTAAGCCCTTATTTTGCAGACAATCTGATACTTTGCAGGTACAAGTTTAGTTGTAGGAAAAGTGGTTCAGATGAATTAATTGCCCGTATTAATTCCATATCTGCCATAACAGTCTTATTCAGATGATTGTTCTTGTGACTTAGAACAACTCTACGGAACGCTCTTATGAGTTAGTTTAGGGATGTACCCGACAGAAGACAGTATTTTTGCAGGTAAAAATTTCTTTTCTTTAAATTAAATAGAAAACTACGTGGCCAGAGCCCTAGGAAGTTCATCCAAGTCTCTGTGATGTCTTCGATTTCGTTTCTTCTTCATTTCCTGCATGTGCTTCCACTTTGGGCCGCCCTTGTTTCGCTGTCTCCGCTTCTCCCTGTGCCACATCTGTTCGCAGTACTGGTCGAGGCTAAAGTTTGGGCTGCTAAGGATTTGGATGTAGTCTTTGTATCTCAACCGTGACTCAGCCAACAGATCTTTGACCTGGCCCTCCTCATGCTCTGCCCTCTGGGTATTTTCCATCTGTTCATTCTCAATGACATTCAAAGTCAGCTTCACTATGGTGTGGATGAAAGTGTGCTCCTGTGCTTTGCAGTAATACACCCCAGAGTCCTTTGTCTGCAAACTTCGAATCAGTAGCCCATATTCTGTTTTGATGATCCTTTCATCAGATTTCAACTGCAGAATTGGAAAAATGTAGGTAATAAATGAAAACAGAGAGCTATGGGCAAATGAAAACAGGCTACATAGTTTTACTTAGATAAATCCAGAAGATTTATTCCCAGTCTTTCTGTCATCAAACATTATTGACAGCCACAGTCAAAGAGAGTGAAAAACTCACCTAAAGTAATGGTTCCCACAGATGCATATTTACATTTTACTATGTCTCACTGAATATATAGATAGTTTTTCTCCCAGTCTACAGATAGGAATGAGAAGCTGTGAAAATTAATGAAGTAAAACTGTAAACTATCAACTGACCATCTTTACAGAGATTTTAAATACAATTAGTGTATGGATTGTTCACCAACCAGTATCAAAATTTCAGAGCTAAAATGTGTCATTTGCAGTCATTGCGTAGAAAAAGACCTTTATTGCATGCTACTACCTGTTTGAAGACTAGAACAATGATTCCAAAACGAATTCCCTGCTTTCTAGATATCACCAAATAAATGGTCTGAATAGCATATGGAAACTGTAAGTGGTGACTTGTTAAAAGTCAAGTAGAAAAGCATGGATATAGCCTTGTAGCTGTTAGAGCTGTAACTGAGTAGTACCATAGTCGGAAGGTTAGCAACATTTAAAGCTGAATTTCCCTTTTTACTATGGATTGAATCTTGATACTATGTGTACATATGATATGCTAGACTATGTCATTTGTGGAAATATTTGCCATACCTTGGTATACTGTAACATACCAATGTGATTTCAAGTGTGAGAAAGCTCTACGAACTAAAAAAGCCTCCCCTGAAATGTGATGCTCTTCACCCTTTGAAGCAATGGCACTGAAAGACAGTTCAAACATTTCAGCTTGCCTGGTCCACAATCTGGTGTGAATAGCAAACCTATCTTCAATAAAACTAGAGGCCTGTTTATCCACACAAGAGCCCTGCTTAATGTGGAGTATCGCTAAGTGGCTTGGCATTAAGTGGAACAACAAAAACAGCAAAGAAGTCTGGAAGATTTCCCAGTTTACACATCTGCCCCTGTATTGTAGACTGTTAGTGGAGGGAAATCAAGGAGGCATAAAGATGACTAAATTAAATTTCTTCACAGTGGGTGGAATATACTCTGCATCTTTATGTGAAAAATATGTAGGGAAAAAAATCCCTCCCATTCTGGAAATATGAGAAAAGGAAAAGAAACATCTCTGGCTCCCAGTCCAGTTAGCTAGCGAGTATATAGCCAACCACCCTCTGTGCCAGAGAGGTGCAGCTGGTGGTGTACCACGCGAGGCCACAGGCAGGTCACAGCTCAGATCCCTGGTTAATGAGGCTGAGTGGTCTCCAGCCCTGCCTTTGCTCTACATGGAATCCACACCAGCAGGGTTTTGTTTGTTTGTTTCCTTTACTGTGCCCTTTTGGTGAGTTGGGTATGTAGTACTTTTTTCAAATAGATTTATTCTAAAGGCCCACATGCTTTAAAATGGTATTGTAATACAAAGTAACCTTGAATTCACTTACATTCTTAGAAACTATAGGCATCTCCTGCCTAAAATAAATGTGAATTTGAACTGATTAGGGTTCTAAAGGGCCAATCTTAAATAGAAATGTCAAGTCTCAAATTTAACACACTGCATGTATTTTTTTCCTTTAATTTTATTGTAGGAATAAAAAATTTTTTTGAATATATCTTAGATCATATTCTGACTCCATAGCCAAGGTTCTAGTCCTTATCTGCTCTGCTTCCTATAACTATTCATTTATCTTCCCTGACTGGCCTCCCATTTATCAAGCTGGTGACATAGCATATGGTGTACTCAGGGGATTAAAAGTAAAGCTCTTGTAGGTTAAAGTGTGATGCATTATTAGCAACATTATACACTACAGCCATGTTGCTGAAGACGTAATGTTCTGAAGCCTTTGTTTCTGTAGTCATCTTAAAAGAAAATGACCTGTGGTTATTAGCATAAAAATCAAAGCGGGTGAATTCTGTCCAGTTCATCTCCAGATTTTCTTTTTATAACTAGTATTCTTGCTAATGTTTAAACTGCACTGAATGTGTCTTTTAGAGACTGTCACAGTTCTGACTCACTGCTTTATACTGTTCTCGTTAATCTTCTGACAGGAAGAATTTTAACTTTGATTTCACACATATTATTCAACACTTTATCATTAGCTTGGCTGTTTTCTTTCCTGTATCCCACTAACGTTGTTTTACTCTGAAATCTGGTTCCTTTCCCTTCTTTCCAGTCTACTACTGTTCCTACTGCATTCAGTGTCATAAACTCCTAGCATTTCATCACTTACCATGGTGCTTCCTCTTTCCTCTCATCCATAATGCTTACATTTTCTTTAGTTTTTAATTTATAAATATAAAACTTTCTTTAATAAATTTCTTTCTGGATTTATCTAATAACATTAGGTATTTAAGTCTTTTTCTTTCTATAATTTTTAAAATATACCTTTAATAAATTAGTATCTCTATTAAAATAGTTTGAATTGATATATTTTCATAGCCTTTTTGTAATCTAGAGATAGACATCTATGACCCAGAAATTAAGTGGTTGATTAACATTTGCCTACTTTACATTCTCATGCTCTGTAATGCTCTCATTCTATACTGGAATAGGATGCATTATGCAGACTGTATCTAGACAGTGAAATGTCAGCACAGTCAATTTAGAAAATTCAGCTCCTCGACAGAGAGACAATGTAATCTCTGGTCACTGATTTCATCTCATGGAATTTTCTCCACTCTAGAAGTGATAAGTAAAAACTGCTTAGCTTTACAAATCAAAACCACGCTTGAACTGGGGTTGACTATCCATTTGCCTAATGTGAACAAGGATAATATACTTGGCATTATTAAATGTAGATCTTCAGTGAAGGGCAATTCATTTAAAATGAGAAGAGTAACATGGAAAGGGACAAAGGACATTTCGGTACTAAGCAGCAGGTAAAGGTCAGGGACTTCATTCTCTGATAATAGCAGCCTAATGATAATTCCTTTGCAGATAATTCACCTGTCAGTTTTTTCATAGCTAAAGCATTGTATGTGTCTTGGAAGTATCCAGGGCTTCAAGAATATCTCCTCTCTTCAACAAACATAGAAAGACTTATATAAAAGTAATGCTAAGGCAACTGGTTCATTATGTAAAAGAAAAAATTTGAATTAGAACATAACTCACTCCTAGATTAATTTAATGTATCTGAGTAAATGTAAATACAAAATATAAACTGTAATTATAAAAATAAAATCATAAAATAATTAGAAAGAATATACTTGCTGTTTCATTGGGGAAGGAGTTTCTAAGTATAACAAGTGAGAATTTGCAAGATATAAATTCATAGATTTATTTATATAAAATATATAACTTTTTAATGTTAGAAACAGAAAAAATTTTAGGGGTATAAAAGTTACCTATAATATGTATAGTATTAAAATGTTAATACTGTAATATATAAGGGGCTTGTTATAATCATTTCTAAATGAATACACTGACATAAACTAAGCCAATTATGGGTAAAGCAATTCCCCAAATAGAAATGAACCAACAGCCAAGAAACATGAGAAAATAAGTTCACATCCAGTAATAGTCTAAGAAACAGACATTTACACAATATATTTTTCACATCAAACTAGTAATGATTTTCTTAAATTATAAAACACAATTTTGTCTTAAATTATAAAACACAGAAAAGGAACTAATGTGATTGTGAAAGGAAATCAACAATATACAGTTGTTTATCAAATGCCATAAAGGTAATAAAAGCATTTACTTCATTTATCTTACTTCTGAGAATTTGTCCTAAGAAAATTGTTAGAAAAGCAGAGAAAGATTTATATATAAGAAATCAATTATTTTTAAAAGAAGAAATAGGAGTTATTTAAATAAGACATGAAACATCCATGGAAGACTGTGGCATAGGGTGGTGGGGAACAGAAAAAAATTATATTAAAACTGAATGATAAAGGAAAATGCTCACAGTGTAATGGTTAGTGGAAAATAAAACCTGGAATATACATCAAAATAGTATGCAGGCTTATCTATACTTAGAGGACTCGTAATTCTTTATGTGTTACTATATTTTCAAAACCATTTATGTTGCTTTATAGCAACAAGAACAAAAGTAAAACTAACACCTGAAAAGAGAAAAATGGAAATATCTGAAGATTTTTAAAAATATTTTAAAAATCCACAGAAAAGGTATCACTGCAAATGGCATAAGGTATTACCTCTTTTATTTATTCAGATCTCAAAGTTCAACAGAAGCTTGGGGACTGCCGATTAACTTACTAGTTACAACACAAACAACATCAATTTCAAGAACAGCTTTATAAGAAAGTCAGCAGATAACTGACTCATGACCTTCCCCAATGGTACCCAACTGTGAAACAGCTCAGTAAGGAAATGTTTTCCTCCTGGGAGAGAACAACCCGGTGACAGCCTCTGGGCCACAGGAGATCCTGGCCCCTCCCTCAGGCTTTTTTTGAATGGAGGAAAGACTTCAAATTGTGACCTTGGTAAGAAGCAGAAAGTATCCTGCTGAGGAAAATGCTTCAACTCTAGCCTGGATTTTGCCCTTTCCCTTAGCTCAGGAAGCAGTATTGTAGTTCCTAGACAATGTGTAACTACCTATTTACAAAGACAGATGGAAATACCAGCAGAAATATTATAGCTAAGATACTTTTAAATGAAGTCCAATAAATACACTTTCTGCTCCATTGAAATTCATGGACCATGGTACTGCCATGACTGTATGATATACTGTTAAAAGGTGTATTACAGGTACATTAAAGTCATGCATAGCATTTTCAGGAATATGAAAGATGTGAGTACAAATATGAATAGGCAAATGTTTGTATCTATAACTGGGAGATTACCCCCATGCATAGTACCATAGTTTTTTAAAAAGTTGGATTGGATTTGCCATGGAAGAAAAAAACTTTATTAGAATCATATTTAATTGAAAATAAATTATCAAACTTTCTTAACCACTAAATAAACAATACTGGTTTGAAACATTTAAAAATAAAATATTGCAATGTATCAAAAAGAAAATCTACATGTTAAAAAAAATCAGATAACATTCCTCCTGTTTTAACATTCCTATTTTTTTATTGGATAAAAAGTAAATGCTTTATATTTCAAAATTACATAATCATTTCTATGTTAGATAATACTTTAATAAGTACCAGTAAAAAATGAGACCTTTAAGATAAACTTTTAGTGTAAATATGGATTCGCCATAATCTGAATTTATACATGTCAGTAGTGATGAAAAATCAAATCCTAATGGAGAAATTTGACATAATGAAGAATGGAATTATTCCTTTTGGTATTAAGTATGTAAAAGGTCAACATTTTGATAGAAAAAATTATTCTTAAAGATCTCAGATGAAGATAATGAAATTACTTGCTTAATGTAATAGTGGAATTCATCTTTAAACTAATTTCTTATGATAAAATTTGATTATTTTATTCCAAGGTTTTCCAACCTCAGCATTACTGATAACTGGAGCCAGTTAATTCTTTACTGTGAGGGACTGTGCACAATAGGATGTTCAGCATCATCCCTGACCTCCACCCACCAGACGTCAGTAGTGCCTGCCTCCCACCACCCCTGTTGACAACCAAAGATGTCTCCAATATTGGCAAATGTGAATGCTCTGGAAACAAAATAGCCTGAAGTTGAGAACCACTTCTCTATACTAAAGTTTGCTTGATTACATATACTATTTCAAATGTTTACAGACTTATCAAGGAGGCTGGCATTTTAGAGAACATTTGGTCCAGCTACTTGTGTGACAGAGAAACAGTGTGAGAGAAGGAGCAGCCTGTCCATGAATCCTCAGCATCCAGCTGAACACAGGATCAGTACTGTTTTCTCTTCCACGCATCTCCGGGATAGAGTATCTGCAACTTTATATGCATAGTTTACACTTGTGACTATTCCTCTGCTTTGAAAATCACATTCTCATATGTATTTTCTCATTTTATTTTCACAGCAACTTTTGAATTATTTTGTTCTCATTAGAAAATACTGGTCCAGAGGGGCTCAGTTATATTTACCAAAGGACACAGGATGATGATTCAACTCAAGACATGACTAATCGTGAATCCTGTGTTCATCCCATTACTTATTACAGTTTCCTTAGTTTAACATCAGGAATTTTAGAACTCTAAACCCTGTATTACTGGTTTCTCTTAGGCACTGAAATAGAAAAATAAAAATTCTGCTAATTAACCTTTGTTTCCTGACATTCAAATAATATTAAATAGGATTTCTCAGACTCCCCAAACTCATCTAATTAAATTCAGCAAAATATAACCTATCTACCTCACAAAATCTCTGTGATATGTTTCAATCATGTGTATGTGTTAGAAAGACTGAAAGAGAAAAATATTAAAAGATGAATAGAATATCCATATTAGTTTTCCCTCTTTTGATTTAATTTTAATATGAAGGTTGAAAAGGTACATATGTCAAGATATATTTATCCAACTTATCAGTTACATGGATATAGATATTTCTATTTATACATGCCATATTTTACTTTATGATTAATATTGAACATCATATGAATTAAATTTAGTCATTGTCCTACTGTGGGGGGAAATACTGTGTTTCTGTACTTGACCAGAGAATTTTTCTAAAATACAATCTACAAAAACTTAAGAAGTTGAAAAAAATCCTGTAAATTTGTTTTAAAAATCCAATCTGCTTTTAAATGTATTTTATTAACACTTTTTTTATTAAATTAGCCTATTCTTATCTCAAAGGCTTTATTACCTTTGATGTTATCAGTATAAACTGTTACTTTCTTTATTATCAAACAATGATGAGAGCATCATATGGCACTAAAAGTTTAACATCTCTCACAACCAAAACTTGATTGAAGTTTTATACTAGTTACCTCAAGGTGTGCATTCTTGATGACTACAACTTACCTCCTCTCGATGTTCATCTCCTGATCGCTGGATATACCACTTAATAGATGCTTGTTGGGATTTAGGTATACACTCCAGAAAGGTTGAATTAAACTCAATGCCAAAAATCACCTTTTCATCAGCAGTTTCATGATTAGTGCCTGGAAAGCAAACATGGAATAGGATATTAACCTTGACCTGATTTTAAAAGCAATGGGAAAATAGACTGATTTAGAATAGATGCCACGTGGGAAAAATCATACACATTATTAAAGAGAAAGGAAACTCTTGTTATAATAGTGTTATGTAAGAGTCAAATACTATCTAATAGATTGATTTTTAAAACTCTATCCCTGAATTACAATTTTTGCCTTTTCATCAATATATTAAACTATTTGCAACTGATTTTTTAAAAATAAGCATTCACAAACTCTAAACACTGAGTCTCTTTCTCTGAGCTGAAATGAATAAGACCTTATCATATTTTAATCCCTCAAAACCTTTTAATTTATATAAAATATAACCAATTTTGTACATAGTTCTGGAAGAGCAATTTACTTCAAGAGAAATTTTATCATGAATTTGTCCACAGAACTGACCATTTAACATTAAGAAATTCTGATGTCAGAAAAGTAAGTACAGTGGTCTTACTTGATGAAATTCTATAATGATGATGATAAGCTAGATTCTCTAGTAGTCAGAATCTGGACCTTATCTGTATTATCTACCAAAAAATGCTCTCTGTTATTTAAAGATGGATATTTTAGCCCAGCATGCATTTGCTATAAGATAGTTAATGGGATGCTAAAAGAACAGTGTCTCAGACACCTTATTCTCATAAATTAACTGCACCATCTGAAATACATTCCATCCAGAGTAGCCAAAGGCTGTGTCCCATGTGTGATCTAAGATCTGTAGCTCAAATTTGATCAAATAAAAAATGACAGCTGCTCACCCTGGCCCAAACCTGCACTTTTTCATTGTATATTCAGATGTCTCAATTCTGCAGATGGGCCTACCTATCATTTTAGGCATAAACCAGAGAGTAAGGCTTAAGAGATGCAAGCAAATCCTAAACCTAAGCATACAAAATTATCAACAAATAGCATGAATACACATACATCCAATAGCTAGGCTTTCTATTCAATAAACTTTTTTTTGAATGTATTTATGTTTTACTAACAGTGATTAAGTCAAGCATGCTGACACTATTATGAATTAAACTCACCTAACCTTCAAAATGTGTGGATTCCATTTGAAACCTGCAATCTATCCATGATCTCATCCAATCTGCCAGATTATGTCTACAATTTTCACACTTGATAAATTTCTAATGCACAGAAAGTTTACTAGGGCTGATCATGGATGAGAAAGACATGTGTCGTTTCATAATAACAGATACTATTTCCTGAGCATGCTAGGAGGATGCAGGTTGATTGTTACATGATGGGGCAAGTGCTCAGGTAAAACTCAATTAGACTGATTCAACCAAAGACTGGTTAGTCTAGTAAAAAATAAATCAGTGAAATCACTGAAGAAGTGAAATAGCTGATTGCATGAAATCCTTTTTCAAATTAGTAAAAACAGTGTTCTTTGACAACAAAGTCATCAGTATATCATCAGTCTAACTGGAAATGAATTTGGTGTGGATTCAGGAATGTTTATTTCATTTCTGAGTTCTAAATTTCCTATTTTTAACAATCGCATTTGTAACTGCACCAAACAGAATAAAATACCTAGAATACATTTAAGCAAGGGGTGAAAGATTTGTACACTGAAAATTAAGAGACATTAATGGAAAAAATTGAAGGAAACACAAATAAATAGGAAAATATTCCACTCTTATGGAATGGAAGAATTAATATTGTTAAAACATCCATACTACCTGTAGCTATCTACAGATGCAATTGTTATAAAAATTCCAGTGAGATTTTTTCACAGAACTGTAACAAATAATCCTAAAATTTGTACAGAACCAGAAAAGATCCTATATAGCCTAAAACTATCTTGAGAAAAAGGAACAAAACTAGTGATAGAACACTTTCTGACTTCAAACTCTATTACAAAGCTATAGTAATCAAAACAGCATGGTATTGGCATAAAAACAGACAATATAGATCAAGGAAACAGAAAAGAGAGCCCAGAAGTAAACCCACACATATATGGTCAATTAATTATAACAAGGGAGCCAAGAATATACAATAGGGAAAGAATAGTCTTTTCAAGAAATGACGATGGGAAAACTGGGCAGCCACATGCACAGTATACAAAAATTAACTCAAAATGAATTAACCTATTGATCTAAGCCCTGAAACCCCAGAACTCCTAGAAGAAAACACAGGTAATAAGCTCCTTAACATGGGTCTTGTCAATGATTTTTTTAATTTAATGCCAAAAGCACAATCTAGAAAAGCAAAAACACACAGATGGCTATATCAAACTAAAAAGCTTCTGCTAATGAAAGGAGATCATAAGAAAAATGAAATAGCAACCTACTGAATGGGAGAAAAAATCTGCAAATCACATATCTAATAAAGGGTCAATACTGAAATTACATAAAAAACACACAACTCAATACCAACCACCCCCAAATAATCCAATTAAAAAATGAGCAGAGGAGCTGACATTTTTCAGATGGTCATACAGATGGTCAACAGGTACATGAAAAGGTGTTCAAGCTGACTAATCATCAGGGAAATGAAAATAAAAACACAGTGAGATGCCACCTCATACCTATCACAATGGCTATTATCAAAAATATAAGAAATAATACATATTGACGAGAATGTGGAGAAAAGGGAGCCCTCATATACTTTTGGCAAGAATATAAATTGGTATAGCCACTATGGAAAACAGTACATAGGTTTGTCAAAAAATTAAAAAATAGAAAAACCGTATGATCCAGCAATTCCACTGTTGGGTATTTATCCAAAGAAAACAAAAACACTAATTCAAAAAGATATATGCACCCTCCATGTTCACTGCAGCATTATATATAATAGGCAAGATATGGAAACAACCTGTATCCATGAATGAATGAATGGATAAAGAAGATGTGGTATATGCACATAATAGAATATTATTCAGCTTTTTATAAAAAAAGAAGGAAACCTTGCCATCTGTGACAATGGACCTTGTGTGCATTATGCTAAGTTAAACAAGTCAGGCAAAGAAAGACAAATGCCATATGATCTCACTTATATGTGGAATCTTAAAAAATAAAAAAACAAACCAAGCTCATAGATACACAGAACAGATTGGTGATTGCCAGAGGTGGGTGTGGGGGTGCAAACTGAGTGAAAATCAGTGAAAGGGATCAAAGGGTACAGACTTCTCATAAAATAAATAAGCCACGGGGGTGTAATGTATAGCATGAAGACTAGAATTTTTAAAAATGTACTGCATATTTCAAAGTTGCTAACAGAGTAAATCTTGAAAGTTCTCATTGCAAGAAAAACAATTTTTTTGTAACTGTGTGATGATATTTAACTAGATTTGTATAGTGATCCTTTCACAATATATTCAAATATTGTATCATTATGTTGTTTACCTGAAGCTAATTTAGTGTTACATTAATAATACCTCAATAAAAACACTCCTATTTAAAAAATGTAAAATATATGTATGTCTATATATATACACATATATATATATATACACATGTATATAAACATATATACACATCTATATAATTTATACATAATATTCTATTACTATGAATTTTTAAAGATATAAAAGTTGCATACAATAATGTTTAAAAATAGTTAGCAAAACATTCTTAGGTGCCTACCACGCTGACATTGCTTTAGATGCTGGGGATATATTGGTGACTATGATAGGCAACTTCACTGCCCTCAAGAAACTTATGTTCTAGTGACAGAGGCAAAGTAATCAAGTGAATGAATAAATAAAGAATAGTATCTGGCAGTGTTGTACACTATCAATAAAAATAAAGCAGATTAGGGAATAAGGGGAAGAAGGCAAGGAAGGTATTTCAGATTGGACAGTCAGAAAAGGCATCTCTGAGAAATGCCTTTCTCACAGTCATGTGAGAGAGGGTCACAGGATGCATCAGGGACCAGATCAGATAGAGTCTGTAGGCCATGGTAAAGGCTATGGATATTTCACCAATTGTTCTAAGAAGCCAGGGAAAGATTTTGAGTAAGGGAATGACGTGATCTGACTAAAGCTTTTACAGAGGTTACTCTGGCTACGTGGAGTAAAGACTGAACAGGGGAGCACGCATGGAAGCAGGGAGACCAGTCAAGCGGCTACTGAAGAGGTATGGTGGCTCAGTGAAGTCGGCATGCATGGAGGTGAGGAGCAGTGGTGGTAGCTGGGCCATAGAGATGAAGGGACCTACTGGGAGGTCTAGTGCTAGGATGTGAAAGAGAGAAACAAAAAGATGTCTCCTGGCTGCCTTTTCACCTAAGCAGTTGAGTGAATGGTGGTGTTATTTGTTAATATGGGCAAATCCAAAGAATGAGTAGGTTCTGGAAAAGATAACAAGAATTCTTTCTCACATACAATTTGAAATGCTTATTAAGCATCAAAGAGGGGTTCCCGGTGGGGCATGGCATGTCTGGCACACAGGGGAGAGTTCAGAACTGGACTATGAATTTGAGAGTCAAATTGCTTCTGATGGCATTGAGATTGGCATTATTAGGGAGATAGGCAGAGACTATTCAGATATTTAGATGGTGGGATGAAAAGGAAAAATCACTTAGAGGGAGCAGCCTGAAATATAAGAGGAAAACCAGAGCATGTGGCACCATGTGGGACACCATCTCCTTGAAAACAGAAAGCCTGATTTGTAGGGCTTACTGATTTTCTGGGTGTAAAAACTCCCACTATGGCTGATGCAAGCTACAAATGGGTTAAAACCAGTTCACAAATTCACAAAAAAAAAATTCCCAAAAAATGGATTGGGTAGAGTGATAATAATGATTAAAAAGACTATGCAGTGGGCTATAGCAGGAATGGGATGTGGTGAAGTGGAGACAGTAACTGTGAATGCCTTGGCAGGAACTGTTTTTTACATCACTTTCTTTATAGCATGTATTATTATCTAACATAGCATGTATTTGACTTGTTTTTATGTTTATTGCCTGCTCCCTCCCTGAACACACACCTGAATGTAAGTTCCATGAATGCACAGATTTTCTTTTTTGTTCATTGTTGTATCCTGTTCAACACATAACAATTTATGATAAATCACATGTGTACATGTAAGAAATCATACACACACACAGTAATGATTGCTAAATAAAACAGTGGACATGACAGTAACTCACCTACACATTAGAATGAGAAGTCAAACATACTGTTCTGGACTATTGCTTATTTTTCTTAATAATGAAATTATGAATTATAAGTAATTGCTTTGTTTTTGAATTAAGAAAACTGCTGGGCTATTGGTTACAGACCATGAAATTTGGATTTATTCAATCCTGGTGGTTACTAACAATGTGATGAAAGGAAAGCAGCTCTTTTCTTCCTCCAGGGGTGTGTGTGTGTGTGTGTGTGTGTGTGTGTGTGTGCATGCACATGTGTATGCACATATATTTTCTATTTGAAGATAAAGCTTGGCAGCAGAAAGTAAACTAAGATCTAGCATATATAAAATATATAGATTTATTCTCTCTGTTATAGACATCCTCTCTATTCTCCACTCTGCTCCACTCATACTCAGACTCGCAAGATCTTCCGTTCTATGAAATTTTCTCTGAAAATCACAGCCTCTGGTGATCTCTCTTTTCGTGAAACTCCCACATCACTAATTGTGTCTTATGACATCTCCCCAAAGAAATATAAGTTCTACAAGGATTGTCTTTGTCTTAAAGTATACCCAGGACAACTGTATGCAAATAAAGTAACTTACTATTTACTGGTTGAATGAAAACATTAATTACTGAGTAATGTAAAGGTTTCCCACAACCTCAAATAAGTGCCTACACTTTTATTAGACTTTTCTGTGAGGGTATCTTTGAGTTTTCTCTAAATGTCTGTATTTTTTGGACTATATTCTGCTTATCTCTAATAGCAGTTTTCAAACTTTACAAGGATGGATAATGCAGTAAAAAAGAAAAAAATACGAATTTTTAAAGACATGTGAAACAAATAATGATACAACAAAGGATTATTCATTTATGCATGTAGCCAGGGGGTTGATTTATAGAATCTTCTGTTGCTTTTTTAAAACATTAAGCATTATACAAAATGAGCTCTTCTTATACAATAGATGTTTTAAGTCATATAATAAAAAGATACACAAAGACTGGGTTTAAAATTCTAAGTGGGAGAAAAGCATAGTAAACCTCTACTTACTGTCTTCTATGTCCCAGCACTGTGTGATCGGGTCCCCATACTTCACATCTTGGCGTCTAGCTCGCCTATGGAAAATGCATTAAACTGTTTAGAACTTCAAGTATGATAACTGCAATATGCAAAGTCTACATCTAACACTAATAACAGTGGCAGAAGCAGAACAATGCTTGTATTACTGCTCAACTTAAATGCAGGGCTATAGTCTAATCACATGAACATTAAAATCAATACTAAGAGTAGTAGGGTCCTAGAAGAATGAATCTTATTACGGCAGTTCGACAATCTGAATTTTATTTTACTCCTGCAGTTTTCTTTTTCTCTGACTTGTGACAAATTATGCTATGTAACAGTTTGAATATAAATATAATCCAGGTTTTATATACCAAATATATAAAATATCTATCAAATAGGGGTACCCTACCCTCTTTTTTCAGTCAGTCATTGGGAGAGTAGTAAGACATCAACGAGCTTCAATTAGCTAGTAGGGAAGTACACAAATACAAAATGCCTTACCAGCTGAAGATTGATTATCACATACACTTGACTAAACAAATATTAAATACTGTCACTTGAAACAGAAGTAGGAGTTTGATATGGCATTAATGGCTAGATGGTACTCCCATCTGCTGATACATGGTTCACATGGTCATAGTAGTGAGAATGACAATGATAATAATAATAAGGAATGGTTTTGTGCATTACTGGCACATACTTGTCTTAAGAGAAAATACTAGCTATTGTATCAAAAGAGAAAAAAATCTGCTACATCTAAGTTAAAGAAGTACTACACTTTACATTTTCATTTGCTTTGTATATTTTATGCTGCTACTTCAGTGATCATAAAAGTCAAAGTAAACATAGGGTATTCCTTAAGGGCAATGCTGGTCAAATGAAAACCCTGCATGAGATTCATCTGTCATACACATTTTTTTGCTCACATGGACATTATGTTAGGTAAGGGAAAACATCACAGTCATCTGTCTACGAGATCAGAGATAAAGGCTTGGGAAATACAGGAAGAAAAAATTATGATGGTAGAATGTGCATAAGGTCAAGAATGTTTTTAAATCTTGGCTTCTTAAGGTACAGGTTCAATTCATCAAACTGAAGGTTCATTACCAACTAATGAGCACTCTTGTGTTTTAGCTTGTCAAAACGAAAAATATTCCCCAAAGACTCACTATGGTAAGTATATTTTTAGCCAAAAACTATAACTAAAATTCAGGCTTTTTACTTTCCACTTGCAATTATGGTATCTCCCCATTCACACTTAGATCAGAGATTTCAGGGATTATAAAATGTCTCCTAATTTTAAGCCATATGTTCTACTGTACTATACATTCAATCTGTGATTCCGAGAATTTGCAATTTGACAAGTCAGTAAAGTTCCAAAAACAACAAGTGCGTCTATACTGGTGGGATTAACATATGTTAATCCATATGTTACCATATTTTGTTAATAAAGGCCTAAAGATTAAAAAATACCATCTATAATTTGCTAACACTTTATCTATAGGAAAACATACTTTGAATAATACTTCAGAGAAAAAGTATTACCAATCCACATTTTAGAACAATGATATCATAAGATATTTAGCCAGCAGCAATCATATTGATGGGCATTCAGGTTGTTCTGGTAATTTTGCTAGTAAAAACTGCTGAAATAAGCATCCATGAACATATACCTTTGCGGTGCTTTTGCCCACGTACATTCAGAATAAATTCCTAGCTGGGTATTGTTGGCTAAAAATAGCATTATTTTTAAGTGCACCTAAAGTAATGATCTACATACAAACAGCAGAACAACAGTTTGATGTTTTAGTGTATCACCCAGTTAGAGTTATTACAGAAGTAAAATTGTACTGAGTCACTGGGCTGTACTGTGGACTGTCTATAACCCACACTTTTACAATCACAGATATTTGTGCCTTATTTAAAAAACTGTAAGTATGAGTATACACATATTTAGAAATAAGGGAAGAGGGTAAAAATGCAGAGAAGGCAAAGTAGTAAAGAAAAATAAACTTAATGGTATTCTAAGAGATGAATGAAGAGAATATAAACTTATCAGAATTTTTTAAAGTTTCACATTTCAGAATGAACTTCCTTCAATATTTATTTCGTCTTACGCAAAACTATAAAACAGTAGTTTTGCATTAATTCCTACCACAGACCATGTTTTCTGTATGTTTTCTCTTAAAACTATGAGGCATTCGTGTGAGATGTTCACGGTGTAGAAAGGATGGCTTCGTGTTAACTTGACGTGCCTCTTACCGTTTTGAAGTGGGTGCATACCGAGAGCAGGCATTTCCATCCCAGGCACAGTAGGGGTCTCTGGCAAGACAACAGTCTGCACAAGCTTTCCCATAAGTGCTGCATCTGTGCAAGGAGAGCTGAACCAATCCGTCTCGGGAACCAACGTACAACTGTTGCTGCAAATCAGGCAAAACAAATGAATTAGCAGCATCTTTCAGACTAGTGTTAAGGGTTTCCCTTTCTTGAATACCACATCACAGAACTGTCTTCTCAGATGATCTGCCCATTATAAGCACTTGTACAAAAACCTAATGAAGAGTAAGAAGTCAATTGCTTCTACCCCTGGCCTGTTGGTGGTTTGGAGACGTTGATGCTGAAGTGGAGAGCATTCTGTTAAAGTAACCTTGGCAGTAATTTAAGGAGGTCAAAAAGCAGCTGTTAGACTGAGGAATTAAGATGTCAGATTCTTTCTCACTAGTTGAAAATACACTTTGGTAGATTATATCAAGCACAGATGCTATCAGCAGCACTGTTGGTCTTCTCTTGCTATGGCTACTCACATGAGAGATGACTGAAAAATGATTCATAAAACTTTCCTGTGGTTTTAATGAACGTTTCATTTGCTAATGATGTACTTACTGATCCCTGAAGGAAAATGGGTTATAAGTGGGAAACAAAGTATTTGCTATCATTATAAAGAAACTATTAAGGAGACTTGAGAGATGCCATTCACAAACAAAAGGCTGCAAGATACTTAACAAGTAAAATTACGGTTTGAAAGTAAGTCCTGAATGCACTGCTCCTTGGATGAATTCGTTTGTGTGTGATGGGGGAAGGGGATAGGAATGATACAGGTCTGTGCCTTCAAAGAACTCATTGTCAACTCTAGTAGAACTTGTCATACATTAAATAGAGGGAAAAAATCTGCGAAATAGATACAAGCATAAATAACAAACAGGTACTCAAACCTACAGGAATCTGTATCACACCTCCACCACCCATTAAAATGCCAGTTAGGACTTCCTGGTTGCTAAATGCAAGGTACACTGCTTAGTATTTGTTTTACTTAAATTCTCCATAGTGTTTGACACTAAGGACTCCACCCTCCTTGAAACTCTTTGCTTTTTCCTGTTTTCCCCCTATTTCTGTCTAAGATTTCTGTCTCCTTTGATAATTCCCTTCCTTGCATAAACATTGGGTTTCCCTCTTTTCTATTCTCACTTCTTTACCCTTGTTACCATACAAAGAGTCAGAGTACTCTGAAAACTACATAAACATGGACATACTGATTCCCCCAAATCTACTCCTCCTACCCTCCCTTGGCAAGAGGCACCATCTATCACCCCAGACACAAAGCTGGGAGTTGTCTCTGAATCTTATTCTCTCTCCTTCAGTCTGTCACCAGATCTTTTCCATTCTCTCATTTAGAACTGTCTCATCTATTTTCTTCTCTCCCTCCCCACTGCCACTGGCTTTGCTTCAGTGCTTATCACTTCTTTCCTGGATTACTGGTAAGTGCCCTAATATTTCCTCTGATTTCAGCCTTGTTTTCCAGCAACCCCCACCTCTACTCTGGGATGCAATGCATCTTCCATGCTGCCACAACAGACTGATGTTTCTAACAGGAAAATCTTATCAAGACATTCTCCTGCTTGTAATCTTTATGGGTTTTCATTGTCCTTAGAGAAAATCGTTAAATTTCTTAGAAGTTTGAGTATCTAATCTTGCTTTGTCTGACTTCTCCCTGTCCATTGTCATCCTCCCTGCCCCTTGGGCACACACATGCCCTTTGCTCTAATCAAACAAAAACTTGCTAGGATAAGGTACGTTTCCTCACTCTTCATACCTTCCCATTCTCCTCTTCTACTTGGCATACACTTCCTCATCCCATCTGCCTTAATTTATCTCATTAATCAACATTCGGCAGGTTCCATGCTCTTCTTATTGCTACCTTCCCCTGCTCCCCTGGCCCCTTTCTGACCAGTTTCTCTCTATCCGCCTAGTACATGCTTTCATTATTGTTCTGCATGTCGGCACGCTCCTTTGTTCCCTGATCCACCTTGAGCTGCTGGAGGTTAAGTGTTATGTTATTCATTCATTTCTGTACCCTCCAAGGACAGAAGTAGGCCTTCAAGAACTAAGTGTTGACTGAACAAATGAATGGAAAAGACTGAAGAAGAAGCCTTTTGAGATCTCTTCCCTAATAATCCCTGTACCACACTAGGCATGGTAGATTAAGACAATGTTAGCAACACCTTAATGTTGAACGTATTATCACATGACGTACTACATCTAGAAATGGTGATGCAAGTCTGAATCAATTGGAATTTGTAGTATCGTATTTGAAAACTGTGAAATCATATTGTCATTATTGTTGGTTGGCATTTATTTCAGACTTATAATGTAACAGCTCTCTATCTAGAATTTCACATGCAGCACCCTATTTATTAGGAGATGGATAATGTTTTCCTCACTTTACTGTTGGGGAAATTGATTCCAGGAGTCAGATATTAAGTGGAAGGTTGAAGTGCTTATCACTTCTTTCCATTGTCTAACCATCACCATTCATTGTCTAACTCTTAGACTCCACAATTAAAAAACAATTGTAATGATTAGTGCTGGTATTCTACATGAATTTCTTTGGCCTTGACCGAAAGACATCTTTATGAGATTAGGACAGTGAGCTTAGTTTTTAAGAGCCAAAGGAAAGGGAGATATATTATTCAATTAATGAAATTTGGTTCCATTTCTCCTAAGGCAAGGCTGAAACAATGGCCTCTAATCAGTTATAAGAGAAACAAATAATCTAAAGCTTTTTACATTACTTATATTTAACTTCCAATATCAATAGATTATCTTTAAAATGAATTTTGATTCAAGCAACCTGTTGCTGTTGTGCCTAATTTTTATACAAAAATTGAAAGTACCTGCTTCAGAGACAACTCCATATTCAAGATGATTGATGAATGCTGCAAATAGAAGTTGAACATTAATAAAGATAACCATTAACAGTCTTCTATAGTAGCCAAAGTGTTGTTTTATCCTGTACCAATGACCACTGAAGAAACGCCCAATCTCTGTTATACAGAGGAAAAATGGATCTTAATGTTTGCTATTTCCTTCCAATCTGTAGGGATTATATCCCACTCAAAATCAAAAGAGTTATTTTAAAGTATCTTATTAAAGAAAAATTACCCCAAAGTATGAAGAAATGTTCTGCATTGAAAATCATTCCCAGTTACCCACAAGGTTTCTCCTTCTTCTTAATCTGTTTATCTTAACTGCTTCCATATAATTCAAACTCGTGTTGACAAGAGCATCTCTGTAATTATTTATTACCTCTTTCTGCTCTTACTCAGATCAGTAGTTTGAAAACTTGTCCAAGTATCAGAGTTCTGAAAAGTTATAAAGCTCCTTGTGGATGACCATATTTTTTATGGTACATTGCAAGACACTGATGCATATAAGTTTATGATACGAACTAGGGCCAGTTTATTTGTAGGAAATACAGCTCTATGCATACGCATGCAATATAAAACCAGAAACATGAATCCAAAAGCTGCCAAACTAAAAAGGATGGAATGCTTTAAACTTTTTCATCTGTCATCTATTTACCATTCATTCCTCATCAGCCAATTATTTAGTAATTGATAAACTGTAGCCTATCAAAAATTTCAGAAAACATATGAAAAAAAATGAAAAGAAAAATTTTAAATGAGAAATCTCTATCCTGTAACATTTTTTGTAAATTAAGGCAACAGGTGAATTATTCAATCTTACCTGTGGAATCCAAACAGTTCCTCTTGACGGCTAACATCCACTGAGGGGGACATATTCTAATGAGTTCATGAGTGTTATGAGGGCTTTATTTTGGGCCTCCAGGTGCACACTTTTATTTGACATGTGGTTTTTCCTCTAGCTACCACCCAAGATTTTGTTTTTGGTAGTTGCCAGATAGCAGGCTTTGTTCTTGTTAACTCCTTGACCACTATTATCATCTCAATGTAAACAGGATCCTGTGGAACCCAGCATGTTAATTAAGTTGAGTCCCTGGAGGTGGAGGACTCACCTCTCTTTTAAGGACCTAGATGTTTACATCGGAGGAGTTTGTTTTAAAAAGCTATCCCAACAAAAATGTTGTAAAAGGTGCAGCATATTTTTAAAAAGTTCTTCTAGTAAGTACAACTTTATTTCTAATGCTGCTTTCAGAAAATAATTTTAAATTGGATTTCACTGGGGATCTGCAAACAATGTACAACTCAAATATATTGTTAAAAGTCAAAGCTATTCCCCACATCTGGAGAACTAGCATTTTAAATGTACTATCTCTTTTGGTAGGTGAGAGGGATTTAGCATACCTAAAGACCTACTATCATGCAACTTCTTCAAAATTTAATTTCCTTACAGAAAGTAGGGACACATGATTTATAAACTATTCTAGTTTCAGTTGTGGAAAACTTGAAAAGTAACATTAATAAAGTAGAAAAGAATCTGGATAGTGAAAGAGACCCCAGGCTTTTATCTACTGTGACAGTTTGTCTGCCCGTTATGTTTAGGTAACGCAGTAGTGACGGGCAGCAATCTCAGAAGCCCCAAATTCAGTGGTATTCTACCAGGAGAGGTGAGGCCCATTCTTTGCTGCTTTTACTTATTTATTTTTCCCATTGCTTAAGGAAAAGGAAAATAAAGGAGCTCACTGCAAGGACTTATCCACGAAGTGGTGATGAATTAAAGCAAATGCATCCTACATCAAGGATTACTAAGGTTCAGCATTCCTCTCCTGGAACACTGAACTAAGACTTACCTTGAATATCTGCAACTCCTCCAGTACTACCTCTTCCATATTCCACTTCTCCTTTGAAATGCTGACAACTTTTAGGACTGTTCCAATGTCTGAAAAAATACATTACCCATGATTCTGCTGTATCTACTTCAATACTTAGTTGTAAGCATATTCCTAGTAACCTTCACATTGTTCCCCTCATTTTTCCTTCAATGCCTTTCAAGAAATCAGACTTAACAAAAGCATGCAAGAAGGACATTTAATGTAGATAATTCTCCCCTTCTGAAATACTATTGCGTTTAGCTCATAAGACATCTATTTATAAATAAAATATTAAAAGACATAGTCAGATACAGGCGTACCTCAGAGACATTGTGGTTTCTGTTCCAGATTGCTGCAATACAGTGAATATTGCAAAAGAGCAAGTCAAATGAATTTTTTGTTTCCCCAGTGCATATAAAAATTATGTTACAGTATCCTGCAGTCTATTAAGTGTGCAACAGCATTATGTCTAAAAAAAGTGTACGTACTTTAATTTTAAAAAACTTATTGACAAAAAATGCTAACCATCACCTGAGCTTTTAGTGAGTCATAATCACTGATCACAGATCACTGTAACAAATACAGTAATGATAAAAAAGTTTGAATACTGGGAGAATGACCAAAATGAGACACAGAGACATGAAATGAGCAAATGCTGTTGGAAAAATGGTGCCGACAGACTTACGGCAGGGGTGCCACAAACCTTCAATTTATGAAAAAAAAAAAAAGCAGTTATCTGTTAAGCAAAACAAAGCAATTCACTATAAAAAAAGGTATGCCTGTATGTTCTTAACACAAGGAATAGATATATCTTATTTAAATATTAGTTGAAATAAACAAAAGAGGAACAACATTTTTGGAATTTAATTAAAAAGATTAAAATGTATTAAAAAATAGTTTTTTCTCTCTCTCAGTGTAATGAATATGTATTCAGTACTTACATCCAACTCACCATGAAAAGCAAGATATTTTATATATATTTAATAATATTAACACATGAAAGAAATCATTGAAGCTATTTATATGGAGGAAAGTATAGCTCACTCATCAAATATATTTTACTTAAAGAAACATTAGTATTGGACTAGAAACTGATGTTTCATTAAAAATTATTTTAGTTTAATTTAAAAGACTCCAACAAAATTAATAATGTAGAACAATAATTGGTGTTTATAAAAGATGCATTAAATACAGAATTTTATACTCCAACTCCACAACATAGCAAGCTATTCTATAAAGACAGTCGAAAAAATATTTTAGAAAAAGAAAAAAAATCTCACTTGGAAATTAACTTACACAAAATAGGTGCTTTTAAACTTCAGGGCACTAGGGTTGGAGTATATTAACATATGGTAATGATCCTGGCTGTACAAAATAGCCTGAATGATTTAACTCTGTTTTTAAATGCCCTTAGAATCTTTGAAAAGTATTAAATTGACATTTTTCAAATTCATAATTGAAAATCTATTCATCTGTGTTAATATTATCACTTTCTCAGTGAAAGTTAAATAGTACCACCTAGTGGTCAAAAGGCATTTATGACACTAAAATGTTGACGACCTAGGAATGAGCTTTGGGTGGGCAGTACAAATTAAGTGACAAACTCATTAAACTTAGTAACAAACTAATTATTTCATGTGTTGATGCCTCCACAGTAGTCTCCGTAGTCTTGAGAGTGTCTCTTACTTTCCCCAGTGTTGGTATTGCCATCTGCAACATAATCAGGCTCTTGAGTGTCCTGTCACACACATTTCCTAATGAACCTAACTTTTGTAAAACCAGTATATTTTTTTAAATAAAATTATTCTAAGGCTGTTTTGTAGTCATGAAAACCTATTTCAGTAAAAATGTCCATTTCTTGAAAACACTATTTCTTTACGCATTGCTTGATCCATTAAATTTCACAACATTATCTAGAATGCAGTGTTTTTCTTTCAACGATACATATCTTTACTGCCACTAGAATTCACATGGCATTATTAGATAATATTTTTTCTTTCGTTTTTCTTGAGGTGCAACATAGACAATATTTCTTTTCCTAGAAAAAAATACTTTTTAAAAATTTTATAATTACTGAGTTGGCAGACAAAAGAGTGAATAAAACAAGCTCTAATACTGAAAGTGTTTCTTAATCCACAAAATTCAAGGATAGGAAAAATAGTCTCCAAGAAATTTCTACTTAAAGATTTTTACAAAGTAATGTTTACTTTTTTTAAAAGCCATCTTAAGTCAACTAAGTCATTGATTCTCAAAATGGAGTTAAGGGATCCTTTGGGGTAGGGCTTATCAAATATCTCTGTAGAGAGAAGGAAATGTGGAGTTCGAAAATAAAGAAACATTGCTTTGACCTACTTGTTTAATTTTAGTTTACAATCTTTCAACAAATATGTATTAAGCCCCTAATCTATATCAGGCACACTGCAGTCATAATACATGTACATATTTTGAAACCTCAGATAACACTAAAAGAGGCCGGAAGATATTTCTGATTGACAATTAAAAGCATGCATTATGCAATGTTAAGAAATACTGACTAGACATTAACTAATAATTAGTCACTTTGGCTTTGACCAGTAAGTTTCTTGAAGTTTTTGTTCTCTTTGTCTCATAATGAAAGATTCCCCCAAAAGGAGCATAATCTGGTTCTAGCATACCTGTTCCAAGGAACATTACATCATACTGGCCATCTTCTGCAACAACATGATCCACCACGATCTGTGTCAGTCTGTAGTCCACATTGATTCGCTTGAACGTTGGCCCTCCCGCAACAGGATATACTGATTTATACATTACAGGGTGCCGCTTTATGAAACTGATGACATCATCTGGAAAATCTCGGGTGGATTTAATCAATGGATCATAGGTTTTGCTTGGACACTATATAGAAATGAGGAGGGGAATAAAAACATTGCTCATGCACCTGAGAAATTTACACTTACTTCTAATAAAGTTTTTAAGGCTTATCGTGGATAAAATTAAAGGAACAGTCAACAGGATTACCATGGAATTACATGTACTTGTAAATAGATGCAGTTCACCTCAACTATATTTAAATCCAATTTTCTCAATTTAATTATTCCAATGGAATAATATTCAGCAATAAAAAAGAACGAAATCTTGCCATTTGTGATTGCATGGATGGACCTTGAGGGTATTATATACTAAGTGAAATAAATCAGATAAAGAGAAATACTGTATACTCTCAATTATATGTGGAATCTTAAAAACAGCAACAGTAACAAAACCCAAACTCTTAGATAGAACAGTTTGGTGTTTTGTGGTCACCAGCAGCAGGTAGTGGGCGATTGGCAAAATAAGCAAAGGGTTCAAAGGTACACATTTCCAGCTATAAAAGAAGTAAATCACAGAGACACAATGTACAGCATGGTTACTGCAGTTAATCATACTGTACTGTATAGTTTAAAGTTGCTGAGAGAACATCTTAATAGTTCCCAGCACAAGAAAAAAATTAGAATGTATGGCGACGGATATTAACTAGACATTGTGATGATCATTCTGCAAAACATACCAATATTGAATCATTAATTTGAATACCTGAAGCTAATATAATTACAAGTCAGTTATACTTATTAAAATTATTAATTCTGCACATATTTTAAGTCTTTTAACGATGCCCAGTTGGGCTCTTGCTTTTGAAAGACTCTTTTCAGTAGCATTAGCACAAGTGAAAATCTGTAATTTAAAAGTGAAATCTTAAAAGAAATTTAAAATAATGGTTTTCCAAATATTCCCATATTTATGGATCACTTTTCTCATGATTATTTCATTTCAAAATTCATGTATCTTCATAAGAAGAGAAGACAAGACAAGACCTTTTCTTCTGATAAAACTGACTTCAGGAAACTGAATTAAAAAAACTCTTATGCTAGATATTTCTGTTATCTTTTGAACTGTTCTCTTCTTAAATTAACCTCATATCTCAAAAGATACTGTCATTGCTTGGCTAATGGTCATCAAAAAGAACCTTGTGAAAACAAATCCTAGCTTGTTCAAGATTCCCAGTTTTCTTTAAAAAAATTAAATTGTATCTATTTATCTGTATTTTCTACAGTTTCCACCACAAACTCTTTTCTTATGATTATTCTTTCTTATGAAGGTACGTGAAATTTGAGTTGAAACAATTATGAAGAAAGTGATCTATAAATATGGGAATATATGAAAAAATATTATTTTAAATTTTCTTTAAGATTTCACTGTTAAATTAAAAACATGATTATGAAAAGTAAAATGAGACAAATGAACATATAAAAATTCCTTGTAGAGGAGCCAAGATGGTGGCATGAGTAGAGCAGTGGAAATATCCTCCCAAAACCACATACATTTACGAAAATATAACAAAGACAACTCTTCCTAGAATAGAGACCAGAGGACACAGGACAACATCCAGACCACATCCACACCTGCGAGAACCCAGCGCTCCATGAAGGGGGTAAGACACAAGCCCCAGACCGGTGGGACCTGAGGCCCCTCCCCCCAGCTCCCAGCGGAAGGAGAGGAGTCGGAGCGGGGAGAGAGAGGGAGTCCAGGACTGCTAAACACCCAGCCCCAGCCATCTGCAATAGAGCGCAGCCACAGTGCATGCGGGGGGTCCTGGATACTAGGGAAACAGGACACCAAGACCTGTGAGCAGGTCCCTGAGGGAAGTGCCCAGGGAAAAAGAAAAGCGAGCAGCTTTTCCTTTTTTTTAAATTAATTAATTATTCATTTATTTTATTTTTCCCTTCTTTATTTTTCTTTGTGAGTGCTTTTTGGAAGTCTTAAAGGGACAGGGACCCCAAAACTGGATGGAAGCATCCTGGGACACTTAGTCTAGCAGCAGGGAATCTGGGGATCTCTGGGCACTCTAACCCCCTGGGCAGCAGGGAGCACAGAGGCCACTCACGGAGATAAATAGCCTCCTGGCCGCACCCCATCCAACGTGGCTCCACCATATCGGAGTAGCAGCCCGAGGCAAGGCACGCCCACAGCTACAGCGGAGATAAACTCCATAGCAGCCAGGCAGGAATTAGAAGTCCTGTCTGCTCACAGCTGCCCAGCACAAGCCACTAGAGGTCACTGTTCTCCCAGGAGAGGAAGGCCACAAACCAACAAGAAGGAAAGTTCTTCCAGCCATCACTCATGCCAGCTCTCCAGACTATCTCTATCGCCATGAAAAGGCAAAATTACAGGCAGACAAAGATCACAGAGACAACACCAGAGGAGACAGACCTAACCAGTCTTCCTGAAAAAGGATTCAAAATAAAAATCATAAACATGCTGACGGAGATGAAAAGAAATATACAAGAGCAAAGCGATGAAGTCCAGAGGGAGATTACAGACACCTGGAAAGATATTACAGAAGTGGAACTCTGGAAGGATTTATGAGCAGAATGCATAAGATGCAAGAGGCCATTGAAGGAATAGAAAACAGAGAACAGGAATGCATAGAAGCTGACATAGAGAAAGATAAAAGGATCTCCAGGAATGAAACAATATTAAGAGAACTGTGAGATCAATCCAAAAGAAACAATATCCGTATTATAGGGGTACCAGAAGAAGAAGAGAGAGAAAAAGGGATAGAAAGTGTCTTTGAAGAAATAATTGCTGAAAACTTCCCCAAACTGGGGGAATAAATAATTGAAGAGACCATGGAAATACATAGAACTCCCAACAGAAAGGATCCAAGGAGGACAACACCAAGACACATAATTAAAATGGCAAAGATCAAGGACAAGGAAAGAGTTTTAAAGGCAGTTAGAGAGAAAAAGGTCACCTATAAAGGAAAACCCATCAGGCTATCATCAGACTTCTCAACAGAAACCTTACAGGCCAGAAGAGAATGGCATGATATATTTAATGCAATGAAACAGAAGGGCCTTGAAACAAGGATACTGTAACCAGCATGATTATCATTTAAATATGATGGAGGGATTAAATAATTCCCAGACAAGCAAAAGTTGAGGGAATTTGCCTCCCATAAACCACCTCTACAGGGCATCTTACAGGGACTGCTCTAGACGGGAGCACTCCCAAAAAGAGCACAGAACAAAACACCCAACATATGAAGAATGGAGGAGGAGGAATGAAAAGGGAGAGAAGAAAAGAATCTCCATACAGAGTATATAACAGCTCAATAAGTGAGCTAAGTTAGGCAGTAAGATACTAAAGAGGCTAAACTTGAACCTTTGGTAACCACGAATCTAAAGCCTGCAATGGCAATAAGTACATATATTTCAATAGTCACCCTAAATGTAAATGGACTGAACGCACCAATCAAAAGACACAGAGTAATAGAATGGATAAAAAAGCAAGACCCATCTATATGCTGTTTACAAGAAACTCACCTCAAACCCAAAGACATGCACAGACTAAAAGTCAAGGGATGGAAAAACATATTTCAGGTAAACAACAGAGAGAAGAAAGCAGGGGTTGCAGTACTAATATCAGACAAAATAGACTTCAAAACAAA